AAAATTTACCTTATTGTAAAGGTAAGTATTGTAAGTCTTAAACATAGTAGTTTGAAGTCACTCCAAGCAACGTGGCAGTCCTATCAATGATTTAAAAACAAGAACTGCAATAAGAGAGGTTCATAGAAAAGACATTATGCCAGCCTTACCACTTCTTATAATCCATTCTCCTCACTCAGCAAAAGAGAGAGTTCCCTCCTACAAATATAACCCTTCCTATTTTGGACCATTTTTCCCTGAATTTTTCTAATGTTCTTTGAACCTACTGAACTTTTGAAGTTGTCTCCAAGTGGTCCTACCAATTCCTTAGCTAGTTTAATTTACAAAAAATTAAATACACATTTTAAAATTAGCTGACAGCTAATTAGGCTAATTAGCAAAGGCTTCCTTTGCAAGAAATTCAAGATTCACAATGAATATATGAAAAATATCTTCTTTATATTTATCTAGATACATTTAATGAGTTTTCCCATTATCTTCACACTTTTACATTTTTAATGCTAACTTTTTTCTTGCAATACTATCTTGAACTTCCCTATCAAGACACATGCAGGTTTTTTACCCCACAGCTTTAGCTGCTGGCAATTTTTCTCTATTACAACACAAAGTTTACTCAAATCTTGTCTATAGTTAAATCTCCCACTTTATTATCACAAAATATTCTCTAATTTTAAAATTTTCTCATCATATACATGTTGTGATCCAAGAGCTAATATTACAATAAATTATTATAGAAGGAATTTCCATTCCCAAGGTTTTGCACAGGAGATTTCTTTTACCCCACAAGATTTCCATGATTCTAGAGCACATGCTATCTTTTATGCAAAATGTCACTCCCCTGCCTGTACATCTAGTAATTCCAGCAAAGTTAGCAGCATGTTAGCTTTACAGACCAGTGATTGTTCTTCCATCAGGCTTCCAGTGTATTACAAAGCAGCTGACATTCAATAATGAGCATTTGTGTTTGTTCATCTTATCTCTTAGGACTAAATAACATAAAATCACATGTAAGCTCCAGCTCTGCTATTCAATATTTCACATATCAATTGACTTTAAGTCACACATTCAGTTAAATGTTTTCCAAAAATCATAGTAAGAGATTCCTTTAAAACCATTGTTGCCAGAAAGGGTTTACACAGAATTTCTTCATTGGTCTGAGATAATGAGGATAACCCTGGTGTCTAATTCTTAGTCTCTTGATATTTCATTTCTTTCTCTTTCATGTCTCTTCCAGCCACTCTTCATACCAATCCTTCTTTTTGCCATTAAAATGTATCACATAACAAAATACCACCCATGCAAAACATTCACATTCATCACCTTATTTTCAGAACTTGTCAATTATTTTTCTTTCCTCCCAGCCAGAGAACAGTCATGGAGCTGTCAGAGGTACACAAAACCAACTCTACTCAGGTAACCAACTCACAACCAAAACCAATGGCCAAAACAAACCCATAACAAGGGTAACCACAATGATAATCCAGTGACGTTTCACAGGTGATAGATTCACTGTATCAGTCAGGGATATCACCACAACAAGGACAGGAACAATGACCTCAAGTACACACTCAAGCACTGACATACGTGGAGCCCTCTCGCTCAGGCTTTTATGACAAAGGAGTTGGTTTGCCATTATGCCCTTGACTAAATTCTAAATCAATGAAAAAAAATCGCATTTCAACTTCAGTAAGTTGCTACAAGAATACCATCAACAAGTGGTGCTTTGATACTTCTCAGTGTTCATCTCAAGCTTTTATTGTTATAAAACATGTTGCTTTCACAAAATTATTTAACTTTCGAAAAGTGACAAAACCAGCTTTATAAAACACAAAAGAAAATACCCTATATGATCCATAGTCTGTATGGACTTTCCACAACTACCACCAGCAAGCAGCACAGTGAAAATATTTCCTCCAGTAAAGTATCAAGACTGCTGCCAGCAACAAGTCAAAGTAGTTATTTCCCTCTACTCCCCTTCTCAGGGAGATACTTCCCCACTCTCAGAGAGAAGTATCTAGAGTATTTTGTATGGGTTTCTCCACTTGAAAAAAACTATAGGTACTTTGGAATGAGTAGAGCAGAAAATCATCAATATGATTTGAGGGCTGAAACATAAAGATGCAGACAGAAAAGTTGAAAAAGTCATCAGTCTTGAGAAGGATAATAAAGAACAAGGGAAAACTTACTGATGGCAAAAAAAAATAACCTGACAGAAGGCTCAAAATAAGAGGGAACCAGAATTCTTGGAGGTGCACAACAACAAGAGGAAATAGGCACAAGTTTCAACAAAAGATATCCCAAAAGAGAGTATGAAAAAAAAAATTCACCACAATGACAAACATGGGACAAACATCCATCCCTACATCTCCATCTTGAGAAATACCTCAAACTCAGTTGGAGAAAGTCCTGAACAAGATAAACTAGACTGGTACCTTTACAAAAAGTTGTTTGACTTTCAGGTGACCTTCAGGGGTTTCTTCTGTGGTTCATGTCTCCAAAATATCCCTGGATATACTCAACAAAGGTTCCCTACAGTCTGAAGCTAGGCCCTCTTTTACTTCTTTATTCTTGCAACAGTATTTCTTTCATAGCTCCATAACATCTTCAGTTTTTCAATTGCTTCAATGCCCCTTCAGAATCAACATATTTCATAACTCCTGTACAAACATCTGCTGAATCTTCAAACCTATTCTATACTGTTCTGTATTCTTTTTTCTAGTGAAAATTCCTCAGTGGATTATTTACATAGACATAAGACTTCCTTTTCTAGATCAATGCTGATATACTTTTGGCATATTAGCTGGCAAAATGCACCAACTGAATATTTGAGTACCTCAATTTGATTTTACTTAATGATAACAAAGTTCACTTGAAGCATCATTGAACATTCTGATCCCCGCTTCCTCTACCAGATACCTCTTCTTATGCAAAGATTTTAATGAAAAGAGTGCATAAGCAGACCCTTCAGCAGAGTGGAAACCAGCTCATTCTTTGCATGCCATCATTTGGCTACAGAATCATTTTCAATTTCTCTTCTTTCTGGTTTTAGACACAAAGCTTTAGAAATAGTTAAGGACTGTTCCCAATTTGAGAGTAGTGAATAGCTTGCTGATTCTACTTTAAAGAGCCTGTTGTTAAATCTCCTCAAGATTGTGAAGAAAACTGTATGTCTCTAATTTCTTTGGTAAGTTTTGTTATAATCAGTAAATTAAGTATAAGCTACAAAGAAGTATGCCCTCTCTCCGTGGTCATGAGAACAACAGCAGTTGCTTTTCTGTCCTCTGTCCTGGAATTCATGTTGTCAACAAGGGACCTTGAGATCCGGTCCTGCCTACTAACACACTTTAGCTTTCACTTAAAGTGCTGTAAACCACTCACTTGAACAAAGATGAAATTTAGTTCCATGCTGCCCTTTAAACACCTACTTGCTGTTCTAAATAAAATCTTTAGTGTCTTCACTTCCTTTGAAAAATTAAGATGATGGCACACTTATATCACCCATGTGGGACGGGAGAGATTTCAAAACTTACAACTAAAATTATTAAGCAGTAAGCCTCACTTTTAAAAAAGAAAGAAATTTGTCACTGGAGACTACAGCCTTTAAATTGCTACACACACACACACACTTTTGGTATAAAAGTGCATTCACTGACTTTCCAACTGTAGATCCAGAAAGTCTCTTCTATTGGGTTTTGTCAAAACAATGTATTCAGTCCATTCTGTTAAATATTGAGGGATATTAATCTTGTTAACTCTAATGTTCTTGCTGTCTGTGGAGACTCACAATCGTCTTCTGAGGCATTAAAATGTTTGGCCTGAACATCCTCTTGTCTCCCAAATTTTACTGTTTAATTACACATAGGAAATTATTTCCTCCAGTGGCTTTTAAAACTTCCAACCTATTAATTCAGGGAATATTCTTGGGAATTCTCCTAACATTCTAAAGGCACCATAATTAGCTTCTAGACTTACTTTAATAGATTCAAGCAAATATGTCTATGGTGAGGTTTTCTTGCCTTTTTATCTTTGTGCAACATTCTTAATATTATCAGGTTTCAGCAGCAACAAGCTATAATACTTACATCAGAAACACTGCTAAGGCATAAAAATCATGCTTTGACAAGAGTGGAATAAAGTTCTTGGTTACGGTAAAAAAATAATGGATTATACACACTAAAGCATACCCCTAAAAAAGGAAAAATTTGAGAATGCCATGTCATTTAATTAATAAAAATATCAAAATAGAATTTTTAAAACAAAGTAAAAATACAATAGCCCCTGTTTAATTTGCAAAGAAATCACAAGCCTTTGACTGCTCTAAAATACTACATCTCTGATACCAAAAAAGGAGGTAGGAAAAAAATGTGTCAGGAAGTAACAGGCATTTTATATATGAGACAGAATAACCTAAACTACTACTAAAACAACTTACTGCCACAGAAAGGAGAAAAGTTTTAAAGCCAGGAATACTTTCAAATATTCTGTTACTTCACAATGCTTTAAAAGCCAAAGAAGCTAGGCAAATATCAAAGGAGATCTGTGTTCCTACAGGTTTATCAGGAAGTAAAAAATAATCACTGAAAGACTATCGTCCATCACAGATGCAACACACATCAATTATCATATCAATTCTGAGAGTAAACACATCACCTTCTGGGCTCTGGATTAGATTTCAGTAATTGATGAAGATATTCTGATAAAATATTATAATTTTTTTTTTAATGTGATAAATAAAATCTGTATTACCCAGAAGAACTTCTTGGTGTTTTTTTTCTGTGAGGGTTTCCTACAGGTCACACAATTATTGCCATGCTTGCGTAAAATAATTCAATATTACTGCTTTAAGCGGTCTAGATTTTCAGACATTTTTCTTCATACATCCCACTTAGAAATAAGAACATTAATATTATACTCTGAAGGTTTTTTCATATATTTATTTAAGTCCTAAGAATGTTAAAGGTATCTCCAAAAGCTGAAAATTAAATCCATCAGCTACTTACCTCTTTTTTGACAACAAAATGTAAGTTCCAATTTGCAAAGCATGTCAGCATTCTCATACTTGTCTTCTTCTGCCTTAACCCAAAAACAGGATTCTGTCATCTCCTGAGGTCTGATCTACAAGCAAGAGACAAAACAAAATTTTATTCGTTATTTTGATACTATGCAGAAACTGTGCTCTGTAAAGTCTAAAGCACATTAAATATTTAAGAGCTCTGTAAAACATGTTAATTTTTAGTACACAACTAATCTTCAGGGCTGTTAATATATTTCTCATTAAAAATAATAATATTTAAAATAAGTGAGTTTCGAAAAAACTGATTCTAACAATGCAGACAACACACACTGGTATCCAAGATCTACAAGGAGCAAATTAGCTTAGGTCTAGAGTTAAAACTTGGGCAAACTTCAAATAATCTCCGAAGACAATTGGTTTAGCTAGATACGAAGTACCTTACTTTTCAGAATTTAGCTTTGATTACTTCATTAATTGTGAAAATCTCTTTACTGACTTATTTTTGGTCTAAATAATTATAGTTTCCAAACTCAGTAGCAGACTAGTATACTTAATCTTGTCACAATGGAGAAGGAGAAAAAACCAAAACCAAACAAACTCCAAATTCAGTCTGTATTTTGTCAGTCATTAAATTTATGGAAGTACATTGAAGGACTACAGACAAATGGAGAGACCTGCACTCCCTCTTTCCAGTCCAGGCTAGATAGATTCAAGACACTTGTTTGGAAACTGTATAGCTATCAGTATAGTTCAGTGACTGATCCAACATAAGGAGTCTGCTGAAAAACAAGGTGTAATAGGAAGCATAAGAAGCATCCTGCTATCAAGGTTGTTTTATTTTAGACCAGAACTGACTTTTCCAGGCATCCAATAAAGTCAACAGATACTTGCCCAGATGATTCATGGGTTAATAAAACACAGTTTTCAAAAACAATTAAAAGCTAAAGACAGAAAGTATTAATATCTTACATAATTTTAACTAATTGCTTGTCTAGTCTTACTTCTGACAATCTATTTTCCCCAACTTCAATGTCAGATTTTACATCGAGTATTTGTCATTAATCAACACTACCTTAGACCAGTTGAGTCTTTTCATGGTAACCTCAGGTTTGAATTCTTTTTTAGGCTTCATTCCAAATGGCAAAGCACATGAAGGTGGGGACCACTGTATTCCAGGCAGGCCTGGCAGAGGTGGTGGTGGAGGAGCACCACCAAAACCCAGAGGAGCTCCCGAGCTATTCAGAAGCGGTGGAGGAGGAGGGGGAGGCGGTGGTGGTGGAATTGCTCCATTAGAAGGCAGCGGTGGAGGAGGAGGGGGTGGAAATTGATGTGGTCCTGCACCTTCCCGTGGAACAACAGATGCATCTCCATGAGTTGATGGTAGAAAACCAGGTGGCAGAGAGCCATACTGATAAGGAAAATAGTCTTATTCAGTTTCACTGTTTTGTCAACAAAATGCTCCAACAATCATAGTTTATAGATTAAATACAGAAAGCCAGTTGAAAGTCAATGCCATTTGTCTTGTATAGAACAGTCAAATAAGAATGATAACATTCTTAATCAAAATCATGAAATCAAAAGCCCAATGTGCTTTTGATTTCATGATTGGATGTGTCAATACTTTGAAGCAGACATTCAGACCTGGGGGGTGCACACCAAAAATGACAAACTGAAATGGTGTTTCCCACTTTTTGCATTTCACTGACCATGAGCAAAAAAGGGTATGATAGATATCCTGAGACCTCACCTAGACTACCATGGTTTAGCTCAAATTAAAAAAAAGTAACATCCTAGTCTCTGTTGTTTTCATCCTATAGATGACAGAGAAACATTTCAAGTACATAACAGCAAAATCTGAAGAGATAAATAATTCTATTGAAAAACAGGTATCTTCCAATGTAGGAGCATTCTCATTCTACAGAATTGAAAACATGAAGCAATAATGAAAAAATATCCATCCAAAAATTAGTGTTCCTTACACACTAGCTTCTTATTCCATATAGAAATAACATCCATAATGTATCAAAATAGGATTAGAACTTCAGCAAGTCTAATAAAATTACTACTACTATTTGAAAAACTCTATCATAGGCCTGCAAACATAAATGAGAAAGTATCTGACAAAAATAACAAAAGAATAAATAAGAAATATTTATCTACTGGTGATAGCACTAATTACCTCTTCAACTAACTATGAGCTGAAACTGATTATTTTAGAAAATTAAAGGAAATACAATATGGAAAAGATTTTAAATTTCTAAAAGGAAATAGCTGACTATCAATGAATACAAATAAATGCATGCACAACAGCATGATAATGTTTTGAATTTCTGAGCATAAGCATTGTTTACACTGACAAATAGACACTGAACAGTTGGGCTCCAGAAATGAAAGAAATACATCAACACATACCAGTTGCAAGAAGAGAGTAAAGGAATGAGACCAGGGAAAAAAATTAGTATTAGAGGTAGAAGTCAACATGCTAAGTAGCAATTGATGCCATACTGAAGCCAAAGATTAAAAGTACTAAGTTGCAGTAATCAGTTACCTGACATTTACAAAACTTTTCATGTATCCCATTAACAACACTGGGATAATTCATGGTATGATAATTAGTGAGCAGAATCATATGTTATGCTCTCTGTCTGCATGTAAAAAAAATTATATTTCATGCAGTGAATAACAGAAAAAGTAAAAAAGGGAGGAAACCAATTTCACTTACAAAAAGTATTTAAGTATGACTTCAAGATACACACAGAAAAGTACTTTCTTAATGAATGATGTGCCACTCTTACTATATTTGGTTTTTTAGAATGCAACAATTTCTTGCTTTTGTTAAATGTTTGACTTTGACATTAACAATTAATTTTGACCAGAAACATGAATTAGAATGACATTTCTAAATAGACCAAAGGAGAGCTAAATTAATTTTCCTCACTAAAGAAGCCAATAAATATTTCTTAAAAATCCTCAGAAGTATTAAAATAAACCCCTAGAAAGCATGTCTTTCTGATGTTTTCTTCTTCAGGCATTTTTAGACTGTTCTTGTTCCCAGAAGTAAGACACAGGAAATATCATTTGGTCGCAGTCTCCTTACATAGATTTAAGAGTTGAAGCAGTTACAAGTAACTCAAGTATTATTCTCAAAAAATCTGCACTATTCCTCTCCATCACATATTTCTGCTTGAAAATTGAAAAATTATCAGGAAATGTTCTTATCCAGCCACAGGTTATTTCTTTCACTGCTGGATATCCATGGTAAGGCCTCAGTATAGCAAACTGCATAATAAGCAATTTCCTGTGCAGGGATAAAGATCACAATGATGAATGCTAATCTAAAAGCATAAGACTTATTACCCTATGTGGTTAATTACTTTGGAAATGTATGACTCTGAAAGCAAAACCCAAATGAAACCTAAGAAACTAGTTTAATTAACTGAGCTCAGGCATAAAAAGGATCATCTGGGAACTCACAGCTAATTAATGTCACATTACAATTATTTATATAAAACAGAAATAAAGGAAACTAACATTCAATAATAATCGATAACAAAGATTCTTTGAAAAACCTCTCAACCATACTATCAGACTCTGAAGAAGATGCAAAAGGAGTCCCTTTCAAAAACATTATTTCATACATTCACTTATACCGTCTTTTACCTGTGATTTAAAAGCTTGTAATTCTTTTTCAAGTTCATTGATTCTTTCCTCTTTTTTTTGAAGCAGGGCCTGGGTCTCCTGATGAACTACAAAATCTTTTTCAAACTAAGAAAAGAGACACAAAAAGAAAATTGTTGGTACCAGTCAGTTCTGCATAGTTTCTTTAAATTCCACCTTTTCCTTTTGTGTTTTTTAAAACCTTCATGATAACAATACCAAGAACACATGTCTGCTATTCCAACTTCCATGTGTCTGCTGAGTGGAAGAATCATCTGAATCACCACAACAGGTCTTCACTATACAAAATGGCACAAAGACTTAACATATATTAAGTCAGTATTACACAGAGGAGCTTAAAAGCCATGGATGTACACTAATACAGTCTGTAGATACAAAGGAGTCTCTTTTTATTCTCCCACTGTTTATTTTGTTAGGGATACTAATAACTGCTGAAATAAAGTTGCATTTTGGAAGAGTTGTAGATGAAAACTTAAATATTAGAAAGGTTCTCAGTTAAGGTTAACTACTTCACACTACTTGGCTTCCTAATCTAGAAGAGCACCCAAATTCCCACTTTAACATAAAACTAATAGTAAGTTAAAGTTAAGAACTATGCCATGGTTCAGTTACGCCATTCATTATTCTATTAAGCAATTCCATGTCCATCTTTTGATCACATCATGATGTGATGAAGAATGACTTACTTTTCTGGAAAGTTCAGAAGCCTTCTCTTCACATTCTTCTAATCTTGCTCTATCTACACAGACATCTGGAAAAAAACCAACAAGCACACTTACACATATGTTGGGAACACAAGATTCTTAGTCACCTATTCAGTTTCATATAAGGAAGTATGATGCTGTAATCATTTCCAAACACGGTACTTACCTAGTAAGTGGCTGAAATTTATATCTAATCTCTTACGATACGTGAAATCTGGGTCTGTTCCACTTCGATGTAACACTATCTGTGATACACACTCTTCAATTAATTTGAAATACTGTGGACTAAAGAGAGAAATGAGCTATTTTACAGATATTTTTTAATCAATCTATATTTAAAATCTTGTCTACGAACAAAGTAAAGTCAAAAGCTTCGGGCTGATTTGTTTCCATAGCAAGGTGAAAGTTTCAAAGGAAAATTACATTTGGCAGTTTATTACACAAAAGGAGTTTACAAAAAGCCTGAAAAAACAGAAAAATTATTCTTATATTATAAAATCTACATCTCCCTCCCTGCAGAAATATAGGAAGGAAAGATCCCCTGCTTCCTCTCAGTAAAGAAAACGCTCTTCCTTCAGCTTGATTCTACTAGTTTTGTGACTTTTGTAAGTACAAGTGCATTGCAGCCCTGCTTCAGTACAAGGAATGAAAAACACCATGTTCTAAAATGCCAGGGGGTATGACAGCTGGGTCACTTGCCCAGAACATGCAAGCTGTGAATTTAAACCTTTTCAGGTGGAAGAGGTCTAGCACAGATGTACCATAGCAGGCAAGCACCCTTAACCTTTAAACATACATCTGTGCTAGACCTTGCCTGATATGCAAGGTTATGCAGAATGTTGTGCAGAAAACAGATGGCCCTTGTTCAGTTCACACCTCGTTCCTCCAGTGTTTCCTCAAAGACAACACAAGAGTTTTGGAAGGAAAGTTTTTGTCAGCTTGAAACTAAAGTTTTATCAACTCTTTCCCCTTTATTCACCTGATGAATTTTCCAGGAGACACAAACATGTCTACACTGACCTATAATATATACTGAAAATACTCCATTCCAACCCAAAAGTTAATCTAAATTAGGCATATGTTCGGATTTCTGTATAGACACCACAAAATTATAATGCTACTACCATGATTTATAACTGATTAAAACATCTCTCCTGATCACTTATACTTGTAATCAAAAAGGCCCAGCTCTTAACAAAAATAGTTTTCTATGTTTATAAAATAAAATTATACACTAAGCCGAAAAGATAAAAACATATAGATGGCATTATTGATTCCAAGTAGATTCTTTTGAACATGAGCTCACAAATTACAATCTGCACAGAAAGACTAAAACCTATCATTGGAGTTATGGAAGAAATATTCTATTAATAACTGAATAATAAAAAAAATTTCCATAATTAACATTTAAAACAGCATTAAACATACCGGATAAAATAATCATTTCTTATCAGCAAAAGATGTTGGAGAATAGAAAGAAAATATCCTTCAGCACTAGTGTCCTTTACTGTATTCCACACCATGTTGTAAACATCATTTACTTCAGTGAAAGTGTTAAGGAGAATAATAACAAAGAATCAAAAAATTTCAGTCAAATGTTTACTGATAACTTCTTTAAACAAAAATTATACCAAAAAATATTCATTATATGCTTTATTTCGCTCATGTTTGTCCTGCTGATATCATTAAATCATTTATGTTGGAATAGACCTCTAAGAAGATGATCAAGTCCAACTATTAGCCAAGCACTGCCAAGTCCATCATTCAGCCATGCCACTACATGTTTCATCTAGAAATCTTTTTTAAGTATCTTCAGGGATGGAGACTCCATCATTTCCCTGAGCAGCCTATTCCAGTGTTTGACAAACTTTTCTCTGAGAAATTTTTCCTATTATCCAATCTAAACCTCATATAGCACACCTTGAGGCCCTTTCCTCCCATTCAGTCACTTGTTACTTGGGAGAAATGGCTGACCCCACCTCATTATAACCTCCTTTCAGGTAGTCATTGAGAGCTACAAGGTCCCCCTGAGCATCCTTCTCCAGAATAACCCCAGCTCTCTCAGCTGCTCCTCACAGGACTTGTGCTCCAGACCCTTCTCTGGACATGCTCCAGCCCCTCGATGTCCTTCTTGTGGGTGAGGGGCCCAAAACTGAGCACCAATTCAAGGTGCAGCCTCACCAGCGCCTAATATAGGGGGGGAATGAGCAGTGTCCTGCTCCTGCTGGCCACACTGTTTCTGACACAAGCAAAGATCACATCATCCTCAAAAGGATATTCTAGTTCAGATCTAATATCTTCTAAACGATGAGAGAATTCAATCATGTCTTCTTCTTTATGCTCATTGAACACTTTCAGCTGAATATCTAGTGCTTCATTCTTTATATATCGTAGTTGCTGCAATGAAGAAACAGCACAAAGACTTACAAAATTAGTATTTCCATATGTAAATAAATGTATCTTTTTAATTAATTCCATATGTTTATATTAGTTAAAAGTTCAAAATTACAAAAACACATAAGTTAAATAGTCAAAAGGTAAATGTAACTTCAGGCTGGCTTAAAATTTTTGCACAACAGAGTGTCACATGTTCTTAAGCAAAGTCATAAAATGCTGAGGAATCAGAATAAAATCAGAATAAAACTCAGAAAGCACATTTCACCTTTTCATTTTTATTTTAAGGCTGATACTTGTCCCTTACTGCTCTTTCCCAAACTTAATAAAATGCCTTTGAGGATAATTTATTAGAACTTGTTCTCCCATTCCTGCTCTCAGGCTCAAATAATTAAAAAAATTAAACAGTAATGCAAAGAGAGAAGACAAGATGCTTACTGGTAATAACTCTTTCAATCCACTGCGCATAAATTCATTTCTGATGTGAAGCCTAAAATCCAAGTCATCAGGAGATGTAACAAGAGCATTGATGAGCTGCATGCAAGCTACCTGTAATAGAGAAAATAATCATCTTATTTCTAAGATTTCAATATGCATCACAATCAAGAAGATACAACAAACTAATAATTAGACATTACATAATTTCTAATTATGAAACTACTGTAATCTTATAAATAAGCTACTTAAATTCCTGATCAGCCACATGAGCTATAAATACCAAATTCTAGTTCACAAATTTCCATTATAGTTCAATATTTTACCACTCCATTGAATTTTGTCATTTTATACAAATATCAAGTTCCTTTAGCCGATGAACTTTAGCAGATAAAGCATAATAATGGACATATAAAAATCATTGCAAATATACATTTATCTATACATATATATAAGAAGTTAGTAACAGAATGCAGTCTGTGTACAGTGAAACATACCTTTTCTTTAAAATGCTGAGTAAATTAAACTGAGCCTGAAAAACAGAATGGGGTTTTTTCCCCGCTTGTTTTTTGAAATAGTCATTCTTTAAACATACTGAGAATTATAGAATACTTCATGAGAATCACTCCTTCAGCTCAAAAGAAAGAATCACGCCAGCTACTGAGCAGAACCTCTTCTGAAAAATTAAGATACTCATCTTGAAAACCCACAGCCAGGAGCAGCAGGAATTCCCTGTCTGGATTCACAAGTCTTTAGAACGATGGCAACTTACTGTTTATCTCTAATACAGATGAAAAGAGACACTATATCCCTTTTTTACCCTCTTTATTGTTTGCACATTTTGCTTCAATTTACAAAAAATATGTTATTCAAATAATTCCAGCATTTTAAGGGCTTTTTAAAAGCACCAGACCATTAGAATTCTATTTGGGCCTTACCTACTATGTCAACAATTAAAGCAATCTGGTTCAAATACTTTGCTGTAAAGCCTTTTATAGTCTAAAAAATGATGATGCATTATGCCATAGGCAAAAGGTAATACTGGAACGATGCTCTCCCAGTCATCTGCAAAGTATGCATAATTCCAAGTACTTAATTTACATATGGCCACAAGAACAACTATATATAAAGATGTACAAGCTACTTTGATACAGACTATAAGAAACAATAGCACCCATTAGGTTTCCAGAAGGAACATGCTAAGATTACATAATAGCACAGACCACAACTATTATCTCACCTTTACCCTACTGCAAAGTATGTAAGCATGAGAGTAGCTTTATATATTATTTCAGCTGAACTGTTATGGAGGTGAATGGCAATTAGCATAATTTAGGCCTGTTTGACTGCAGTGTTAGTCTATGTAGATGAACTTACTGGCTAACACTCTAGAAGAGAACAGCTTAGTTATGAGAACAGAGATGTAACAAATGTAAACAATCTGTTAATGTGAGAGCAATGAACCTGCTGATAAAACCAAGCAGACTGTGAGCTACAACAGGTTCTTAGGGACCAAGGGTTAGAATGACCCAATTAAGCATGAGGTATTCTTCACCCAAACCCATAAATGACGGTATTTGGAGTCACTTGAAAAGAGAATCTTGATGGCCCCACAACTCTGCATTAGGATTTGGGACCATCTTTTCAACTTCTAGAGATGTCTGAAATGGCAAGAATGCTCAAGGGAGGATGCCATGGTTGGAACCACTGTACTAACCCATCCAATACCTCTCCCGGATAAAAGCTGCCACAACAGCATTTATTACTCTGTCATACCACATACCTTGCCTCAACAATAACTTCAAAACAGTTATAGAAGAAACAAGCTTTGCTCCTTCTTCTTACTTGAAGAAAGAGCTGAAATTAATTTCTATTCCCTCAGAACTTTTATGAAATTGAGTACATGCAAATATCTATATTTGCATAATAATAGAAAAGTTTTGGTTTTATTTTATTGACATAAATAAGAAAATCACACTAAATTAAAGATATAAAATGATAGAATGTCCTGAGTGGGAAGGGATTCAAAAGGATCATCAAGTCCAACTCCCAGTCCGGAAGTCCCAAGAATCACACCTTGTGCCTCACAGCATTGTCCAAATCCTTCTTGAACTCAGACAGGCTTAGTGCTGTGACCACTGCCATGGGGAGCTGCTCCAGTGCCCAATCACCCTCTGGGTGAAAAACTGGTACCCAATCCTAACATCTAACTTAAATATCCCTGACACAGCTTCAGGCTGAAAGGACCCTTGGGTCCTGTCACAGGTCACCACAGAGAAGAGATTAGCATCTGCCCCTCCTCTTCCCCTCACGAGGAAGTTGCAGATTGCAATGAGGTCTCCCCTCAGTTTCCTCTCCTGGCTAAACAAACCAAGTGACCTCAATTGCTCCTCACACAGCTTCCCCTCAAGGACCTTCACCATCCTCATTGCCCTCCTTTGGACACATTCTAACAGTTTTATGTCCTTCTTATATTGTGGGACCCAAGACTGCATACAGGACTCAAAAGAATTATTTAAATCAACTGCATAAGTGTTAAGATAGACTTCTGTAACTTACCCCAGTGTTAGACAATAATCAAGTTACAACACCTAAACAAAATAATTCAACACCAGTGGAGGGGAGGACGAATCAAAACTAACCAATCAAATATGAAAACGTAATAAAAGAGACAGAGAACTTTGAAGGACAATTTGCAAAAAGCATCTATGACTAACACATCTAATTCCCCGAAGATAGCAAAAGAAGGAAGACAACAGAATCTGTAGAGTCAGTAAAAGACTATGGCGTAAAGAAGTGCCCAAAGAAAACAAAGCAACACAAACAGCAACACTTTGTCATTCTGGCATGTGAGAGGAGATCACAAAGTAGAACACAGACAAAAAAGTTCCAAAGCGGCAGAAGAATTCAGAGAACTAAGCCAACATGAGAAGTAACAAAAGAGCATTCACTCTTCAAACATTCAAAGCTTTAAAAAAAAATTGAGGACAAAATAATCCAAGTTTATACTGAAATGTATCTTGACACTGAAGAAAATAAAGATGGCGAAATTATATTGACATTTAAAAGGCCACTTTCAGGAAGATCTGGACAACTACAGATTGGCAAGTTTGACTTCTACAGTAGAAATATATTTTTTATAGTTGAGAACAAAATTAATGAGTAATACAAAAAATGTAATATCAATAAAGAGACAGTATAAATAAATGGCTTTGCAAAGCAAAGTCCTATTTCATGAATCAATGAGAGGTGTTTGAAAGGTCCAAGGAGCAGGCAAGAATGTTCCAATCTAAGTCTGGACTTTAAAAATTTAAACAAGTTTGACAAATATCAAAACAATTCAGAAAAATGTAGAAAACAGCATGCTAAGTAGACAAAATCAAAAATTCTACTAGTAATAGGTAATATTGAATTTGATGTTTAAAAGTCTGTTTTTAAAAAAGTTTCTATGGCTCAAAAATTATGTCATATTAAATTCTGTTCAAGTAATGTTTCCTAATGTTTTCCCCCCTGCCTCACTGTAAGTCTGCCTTTGTATGTTTTTGTTAGCAAAGTGTTTAACAGATTTGGCGAGGCAATAAAAGCCTGTTCCTGTCCCTTCTCCATATTCTTTACAGTGAGGGCAATTAGATCATCACCTGATGAGGAAAAGTAAATAGCCTCACGTATCAAAGAGGAATATACTTACAGTATGTTTTCTTTCAGAAAGGTATTGGCATCCCATTAGTAGCACTCAGCTTTAAAGAGCTCAGTTAATTAGGAATATAGCTAACAACACCACAACACTGACTGTTTTGCCTTATAGAAAGTACGTTTCCTGGAGAAATATCTTTCTGATTTGGGGCTTCTTTGAAGTTGTAAATAAGAAACAACCCTTGGTTATTCTTCTCTTCTTATAAAGCTGCTAAATAGATAAGAATTTGAGCCTTTAACTGTCACAGTGGATTTTTCATCTTTGTAGTGTCTGTCAGAACAATTCTTATGATACTTCTCCCTGAAATGTGTTATTGCCCTCATTTTATACAAATTGCTTCTGTATCTATGTCTACAGTATTTGAGAAACTTAGGGGAAAATAGGACTTTGTTAACTTATCAATAATTTTCTTCAAATTCAAACAAAACCTCTGTATTACTCTTCAAGCCTGTTTCTGCACAAGTACTTTTTCCTGAGAGTTACTCTAATGTTTGTTACTGCCAAAGCATCACTCTACACTAGGTAACAAAGAAGGGTGCTAACCCCAGCAAAGGAAACTACAACAACCAAAAGATAAATACAAATAATATAATTCTCTTACATCCAAACGTTGACACTACAATACACAAAATTTTGAAACCAGCTAAGGTGCCCAGTCCATTTTTCAAAGGTAGACTGAAAAAAACCTTCCAGGAATTGTCTCGACAGCAACCAACAGAGATGAAAGGTTCTGCTGCACAACCAAGCACTTTGAAGAAAGAAAAAGCTCCTCATATTAAATATTTGTCTGTACTCCTCTACAGTCTTGTTCAGGACACATTGCCTTGTAGCCCACTTATTTTTGCTAGTAACAGGCTACAGGTTTTGTATGAAGCTAACACCACATGCTTCCAGAACTCTCAGGCTTCACCGAGACTTGGCTTGCCTGTCTGGAGCTCGCTCAGTTTTGGCTGTTTTTGTTGCAACAGGATTTGTCAAGTAACAGAATCACTATCACCCCACTAGGTGTACATTTTTCTTAGCCTTGTACAAGTCTCTGGAATAAAGTTTACCGTTACATACATTTCTGTAATTAGTGGATAGAATATGACCACAAATGAAATACAGCATAGAAATGTATAGGCATGGGATGGGGTGGAGAAGTGTTAGCACTACTGAAAGCAATTTTATTAGACCACTAAGACATCACTTAGACTAAAAATTAAGTCCTTGGCTTTGAATACCACGTGAATTTTTTAGGCCCACAAACTGCACAAGTTACAATGTCACAACAGAAGAATTTGGACGTCACAAGTGGTTTAAAATGCAAGCAACCAAACCAGTTAAATTTACTGCAATAAATGCGTGAAGAATATATTGTTTTATTATCTGAGTATGGGCTTTATTTTTAAAGCTTTTTGTATTTGTTTTGGTATGGGTCCACTTTATGAGTATTTGTCATCCCCTTCAACAGCCAAGATGAAAATTTTTACTTCCCCTAATTTGATCTTATTTAGTTGAAACAAGATATCATCTCCAATTCATCTCTCTGGAGTACAAAATCTTTCATTCAATTGCATTTTCTGGATTCAATTAGTTGTGCCATTCAAAACCGGTAATTCAGCGCACTGACAGCTGCCACCAACACCTGCTCTCCTGTTAACATCAGGGAGGCATTTCAATGATTGTAGACTTCACTACCACAGAGTCAGTACCAAAGTACAGTTCTACAAGGTTACATTTACATTTCAACTCCATGTTGTTTGATTATACACAATTTGGAATCTTTGTCATTGTTATGACAGCAGTTTAAAACATAGTATGTTTCCCTGCAAAACACTATATGAATGGATTGTTAAGAAAGGAAACAGCATTTACCACAGATGATTTAAACTATCAGTGAGGAGTCAGAGACTGAAAAAATACTACTATGAAAATCCTGATCAAGAGCAAACTATAGCTTTATCTTTGAGATAGCAGGGCAATTTCAATGAAAGGATATCTACAGATATAATTGTATTACATCTGTAATAAAAAATATTATTTTGTTTAAATTTGCCAAATCAACACAGTACACGTGCACATATGTTACTCAAACAGAGCCATGATACAATGATGAAAAGCAATAAATTAATCAGTAAGATGTACTGCTATTCTAGTATTTCTAGTCAAATTTGATCAAGTGGGAATTAAATTGCAGCTCAGAACAAGAATATACTTTAGCCTTCCTGGAACAAACAAGACAAAGATCCATTGGATAATATTAGCTAACTATTCATTTGTGTAGGAATACAAGTAATAGTGAAAGTCCCAAACATAAGCCTACAAAAAGCAGAATGAGAAAATGTTACACAAGAGGAAAGAAAAACAAGTCTAAGCAAGACACAATGCTTACACATCTAGATTTAAGTAAATTAGATCACAAATTCTTTTTTCTAAGTTTAAAAACTTCTTAAAGGACTAAAGATAAAGGCAATAGCAGGAACCTGATAGTAGATCACAAACATTTAAATCATATTCCAAGTGAAACTAATTCAGTACCTAGGGGTTAGCATAAAATACTTAAATCACACAAGACCACAATAATTTGAAATTAGTTTCTGCAGTCTTGACATTTAGGTAAGGTAAGCTTTGTTCTGATTGACCCTATTACAGAAGCAGTTATGGGAAGGACCTCATTAGCACAGAGCAACCAAGAATCATCAAGTTATTCAGCAAACCAAAATGTAACAGCCATCTCACATCCTCATATTATTAAATGATAAAGATTAAATGGTATTCCCTGACAACTGAAAACACTGGGAGAATACAGCTATTGATGAATACCTAGGATCTTTTACTTTCTTACAAAAACACTTCTCCTAGGATATGCATGAACCTGCACGTTTCCACAGGGATGAGGAATATTCATTTTTCAGGAACTTATCCAGGAAAGGAAAAACTGCACCTTTGCTTCACAACTGTTCCTCTTCTCAGTCCTAACTGGAAAATTAGAAGGAGCTGGCATCTGCAACTAGATCTGCATGGAAGAATAGCACTCTCCTGTTAGTTAAACCACCTGCTTGAGAAGCAGTGGTGAAAGTTGATGATTACTCATTTGATTCTCCTAGAAGAATGAGAAGTAGGCAACAAAAAAGTTGTTGTTGCTGTTATTTTCTTAACTTTCTTACATATCAAAATGGGTTGTGTCAGAAGAGCTGTATTTCCTGCCTTCATGACTGGAACAAGCAAAATATTAGACTTTTCAGTTGTCATCATAAATACACATAAATACATAAGTTGTCATCATAAATACATAAATAAATATAAATGCCCTATACGTGTTTTAGGCTTAAGATGTTAAGCTGCATTTACTGTAACAAAACCAGAAACTTGATATTACTCCTGGCTGTAGTTATAGTTTCAGAATACGACTACTAATCTTGTCTTGAACCAAAATCAATTAAGTATGCCTTCCATAATTTTGGATTTTATGAAAGATAGAACATTGCATTCATCTTTTGCATTCAACAAATGCAAAAAATAGATAGACAGAGCTTCCACTAAAAATACAAAAATCACCCTACTGAGGCCTTTTATGTATTCACTCTTCTAGTAACAGAAATGTTAAGTCAATTCAAAATTGAAAAGGTCAGTTGTTAGTGTCAAAATTGAACTGCCACAAAACAAGCATACATACATCAAGCAGACAATCAAGGCAAGTATGCCAAGTAACTGACAACTGTAAACTTCTGTCTCATTAAAAGCCTGTCAAATTAACCACCAGGTCAATTTCATTGTTAGAAAAGTTTACAGATGATTCACATGAGAAGGCTTGATTTTTCTGGTCTTCAAAAATAGAAATCTAGCAACCATTTATGAAGTCTGAAAAAGTAAATATCAAAAAGCCTTTTAGCAGAAGGAACATACTTTAATGAAAGTTTAACTAAAAAAAGTAAACAGAAAAGAACTTTTAATGAGTTTCCATGTCTACACAAGATATAACAAACTAAATGGCAAAGCATTACCTATTTGCAGGAACTTCAGGCTAACACTCTCAGCAAAACCAAATGAATATATTTAGCATAAGTATTTTAGCAGAAGTATTGCAACAGTAACATTTAGAGTAAATTTTCATTTTTAACAATGCTTCTATCTTCTATATTAGAGGATAACAAAATACCAGATGGAGGTATAGTCCAACTGAGATAGAAGGCATAACTAGTAGAAACAAACTTTTTTTAATATCTGAATAGTAGTCCTAGAAAAATTAAAATTGCTGCTGCATAGGTAATTCAGCTGAAGTTTTCAGCACTGAATTGGTTATTTCACCAGTGGTATCTTGCTCATGGAGCTGAGCACCCCTGCAAACAGTGGGTACCCATCATGGGTAAAACGAGAGATACCAAGGATTAACTTAACTTGCCTGGTGGCTCAAACAGAGTAATGGCCTGCTTTAAGGGGAGTTTCACATGCATTTTCAACTAGAAAGAGGAGGAAGTTACAGATGGTAACTTTTTTCTGTATTAAATCTACAGTATTTTTTTTTCCTTCATCAAATCTACACAGATGCAAATATACACAAGCCCTGAAAATTCAGCATTACACTCAAAACAACATCCTCCTAATTTCAACTTGGTAGTCCTCAAATCCTTAAATGCTCTACAAAGACTCTTGAATTCTCTTAACTTAGATACAACATCCTGGAATTGAAAAAAAGAATTTTTGTAATCTAAAGTATTGAATCAATGAATCCAATAATGATGAATGAATCATTAATATTTTTTTAAATCAAAATATTTTAATTTTTTTTTAATATCTCAGAGAAAAATTGATATCTCAGAATTTTTTTGAAAGTCCATAAAATTCATGGATGGTCCAGGGAAACTGTGGATGCCCCATCCCTGGAAGCGTTCAAGATGAAACTGAACTAGGCCTTGAGCAACCTGGTCTGGTGAAAAGATTCCCCCTCAAGGTACCTGGGTTGGAAGCACATGGCCTTTAAAGGGCCTTCCAACCCAAAACAGTCTATGACTAGAAGAGAGAAGGGGTAAGAAAGAAGGGACAATTTTTCAAAAGATAATTCCATTGGTACTGGAAAAATTGAACTACAAACAATTCTCCACCTGCAAATATTCCTTTATGGTTAGCTTTTCTGTGAGACAAATGAAACAAACAGCAACTTTTATTGTCAGACATCAACTATTTAATATAAAAGCTGAGTAATGCAAGCATTTCTTTCAAACTTTAATCTTTTACTATTTTTGTAATAGTAACAAAGAATTAATGTGAGAAATGCAAGCACAGAGAGCTACCAAGGCCTCAAACACACAAGCTCAGAGATAGAGATGGATACAGTGTTTGACCCAAGACCTTGGAGAAGGCTTGAAGCTTTAGAATAGAATAGTGAAACAGACATGAAATAAGAATCAAGATTTGTAGTTTAAGCTGAAATATATTTCTACTTGCTTAAAACATGTCTCATGTAAGCAAATAAAATATGTTAAGCAAGATAGTAGAAGATTTTAAAGATTTTAAATTTTGAAAAGCTCTCAGTTCAACCTGATTACATGAATATCAATTAGTTCATATCTACACTCAAAACCCAATGATTTATAATGATCATTCAAACAAAGTTAATACTTTGTGCCTTCCTGCAGTAAACTCTACATCCAACTGAGGCAAATTGAAAAAGAGGTGCAAGTTTCCTTTCCTCAGACCTTCTGAGGGCAATTTTATGATATCATAAAATGACCATGAAAGACAGACCTCCCAATGATTTAAAACATTAATTATAAAATGCAGTTGCCTAAAAACTTGCTTTTTTACTATAATCAATATTCAGTTTCAACAAATATTTCCAGAAGTGATATGATCTTGTTGCATCCAAACATATGACTTATCCTTTATTTTAAATATATACTGTCTTTTGACTCGCAAAGCTAAGATCTCAGTGGAAAATCAACAAATTGACTTGCAACCCTCCCATGTTTCCAGGCCAAATCTTCCCATGCCACACCTCAAAAGACAAAATTATAAACAATATTCCAAAATTTGACCCAACTTGAAACAGTATTCCTACTCCCTTTTATTGTAATGACTTGTTCAGTCCAGAAAACCATGTAATTTTATTTTCACTTGTTGCAGTGATTAAAAAAAGATTACTTACTTGCAGCTGAACTGAATTATCCTGAAGACCTTCTACAATAGGAGAGAATCTATCAACATTCCTCTCCTCTGCTGCTGCTGTTACAGCTTCCAATATTTTTTCAAGGCTGTGAGAAAAGAGAATAATTTCACTCAGGAGAGATATTTAAACTTGTTCATTTGCTATCTTAAAAGCCATGTTGCCAAATTATTCACCTGCCTCAATTTCTTGTAAACATATTTAGGAGGTTTAAGCAATACTTGTTGCCTTTAGAGATTTTTGTAACCAAAGAATGATTTACTGGATTACAAGGGTTAAAAAAAGTATGGTAAGAAATAGTAAGCAAAAGAATTGCTGCATAACTATTTCCATCTAACCAGTACATCCAGATGTGAAAAAGAAAACTCACTGATATGGCCACGATAAAAAAACTCACAAAGGTATGCTGAAAACGGACAATATAATACAGATACTACTTTCAAACCTAAATTGAAAATTTTATAATTTCATTCAGATATAATTTGGGATATTGTAAAATTACCTTATATTTCTTGCTTAAATACAGTACTTACATGTTTTCCTCCCCAACAATGCACATTGCCGATAAGAGTTTAACTATATCCGTCATCATGTTAGTTTGCTTGGGATCAATTGCTTTGGCCAGCAACAAAAGGCTCCTCTCTTCTCCCAAAATTCTTTCCAACCCGTACTAAACAACAGAAGAACATTTGTAAGGGAGGGAATCCAAATGACCATCAAGTATCTAATTAATGACATCAATAGTTCCCCTCAAATAAGTATTTCAAATGACATTTTAGTCTGTGAACTAATCAAAACAAAAAAAAACAAAAAAAAAAAAAAGGAGAAAAAGTCCCAAATGGGTCCCTTATTCTGTAAGAAGGGCATATAACAGCACCAAAAGTTTACATTAGTGTCGTGCAGTATTTCTGCAGAGAGAAAGTGGCAGACTTCTGGCAGACAGAAAGAAAACCACAACTGACCAACCCACCACTTCACCAAACTGCATATGGACTTATACTCATCAGGTACTTTATCTAATTGAACTGTAGTAATTTCGTTTCTAGAATAAATAAAATCCCATACCTTATTATTCATGAAGGCTTTCAAACACTGTATAACTTTATGCTGACTCCTTTTCACAAGTCTGTCCTGACTGAATAAATCAAAATTTTAGTGTAAATAAATGCTCTTTAAATATTAAGAAATGCTAACTTTATATTAAGACTTTATATTAAGATATTTCTATATATAATTAGATATTATATATAATTTATATTATATTTATATTCTATTTATATTTAGAAAAGCTAATTTTATACTAAATACTTACTTTTTTGTCTCAACCAATCGTTCCAAAACATCCAACAGCAATCCCAGACCTTCTTGGCCAAAGTTTACAACCCAGCTAGGAGGGAGAAAAAAGACATTTTAAAAAATTGACATTTTGAAGACTAATCATAGTGAAAGAAAATTATCACCATAAATAAAAGCACGCATAACTGGGTGGTGTTAAACCCAAAATATCTCCAACAGAACACAATAAAAATTTAAAGTTTCAGCTACTACCAAAGGCATCTTTTAATGAGGTTAAACCCTTGGCTAGTTGTTTCTTCATATGACAGATGCCTCATGGTCCTGTTTACTATTGCTCAAAACCCCTTGATATCAAATACAAGTAATGCCACACTGACAGCAGCACTAACAATTACAGGAAGAGAAAAACATATTTTTATATTTTTTTCTTCTAAAAGTAAATACATTATGAAAATAGATTCTCTCTTTCTTGGATGGGTGTTTTATTCTGAAACAGATTAGGCAAATAACTGGAAACTATTTTTGTCAGATCTGGCCCATATCTGTCCTAAAGATAATCCGACAAGATTCATTTTGTATTAGCAGAATTATGAGCAGCCACTTTGCTGCACATCCAACAGCTGGGGATGACTGACTAATATACTGATGCATTCTTACTGTCTTTACCTCTGCTTCCACAACAGAACAAAAACTACTTACAATACCCAAAGAAAACACTCAGCTTTTTGTCATTCTGACAAAATACTAAGTTATCAGTGCCTCTATTTTCAATGTATTTATCAAAAAGGTCCTCCTAATGAAATTCAACCTGTTGCAACTATTACACAAAAGGGGAAGAAATAGTTGCAGATAACTAGCTATCTGTAATAATATGCACAGCTAGATCACTTGAACCACTTTTAATGAACTGTGATAGCAACTATGAGGTCAAAGCACCTAAATTATTTACCTGAAAATTAGTGACCAAGATTGTCCTTTTAGAAGCTTACTTTTTATAGTGATGGGAAAAAAACCACAGCTTTTTGCAGTAAACCATGGATTTCAATATTTGTTTCTAAGTACCAGAGATCAAACAACCCAGTAACACTTGATTTAGATTTTCTCTGTGAACTAAAAATACAATTTACAAAAAAGACTAATTGAAAACCCTTTGTCAGAATAACTCAAGCTACTGTAAAGCATGTTTCCTTCCACATAAACCATTATATATTCTAAATAAGACAACTCAATTCAGAAACAAAATAATAGAAAGAAAGTAGCAAATACCCATAGAGAAGACCCATATCAGCAATTCTCCCAAACCAGACACAGAGAAAAGAAAGTTGTGCAATCCTTTTCTAATCATGTCCCAACATTTCATTTACATTATTTTAAACTACAACCTAAAGCGTTTCCCCAAATCATGTGTACAACCACTGTCTTAAATGGTAACTCTAAACAAAAGGATTTAAATAGAATAGAATAGGAAAAAATACAATTTAATGAAATAAAGTCAGCATTCAGAAATCAAGCTGCATGGAACAAATCAAAATTAAGACTTATCAATGATTACTGAAGAGTTAAACCTTCCTTCAATAAAGCAGGTAAACAAAGGTTGTGCTTTCTTCTGAATAGATAAACCCTACAGGTACAGAAAAAAATACCAGAAGGAAGGAAGGATGAAAGCCTAAAGTAGACTGGACAGAAGCAGCAGCACACATTTAGAAATATATATGTTTTCTGGTGAACAAACTTACACCAAGGTGCCTAACTCCCATTATTGATTACCCTGATAAAAATAAGTTAGAAGATCAAAGACTTGGAAAATATTTCAAAAATTAAAATGAAAAACAACTGACTACTTAGCACTAGAAAACAAAGGGAACTGCTTCTGCATCACATTTAATTTACCTTCTCTTAGTATTACCTTGTATAGATCAGCAACTCTATTAAAAATAACAGACCTACAGAGGATACATAATCAATGAAACAGAAAGAAGTTAAAAACACTCACTAATGCATACATACTCATTAACGAGAAAACCTTCTACATATCCATTAATTTTAATCCATTAAGAAATTAGAATATGATTAATCTCTTCAACATGTGCTAATGATGTTACCTGACAGGATTACTAGTCAAGGACACACGGAGAGATTCTAAGCAAGTGACTAGTCTTTCATCCGTTGACCCAGATTTTAAATCCTGAATAAATTCTTGGGGAGAAATCTTCCTACTGTTCTTGAGACTTCCCTGAAACACAAAAAAAACCCACTTGTTCTTTATTTGATGCATATAGAATTTAAACAGATTATTATTAATGGCTAAGTTTCATTTCTGTTCCTTGAAAAATATATAATGTAGACCTGAAAACCTGTAACTGATGCCCATCTACTATTTGCCAAACACTGACTAAATTTGGTCATTTTATGAATAAATTTATTACCAGCAGACAAAAACAACAGGCATGAAATGTACAAATTTATCATACATGCTCAGTGAAATAAAGTTTTTGTATTGAATGGATTCTGTTTATGCATTGCAAAGATCTTCATAAGTGAAGAGTCAACAGAAGAAAAGACCAATAATGATTATGAGGTCCTCTGAAGAGATCACAGGATACATGTCCAGAAGGGTGACTACACTCATGTAAGCATACAGAGCAAAGATGAAGCATACCATATATTTTCTACAGAACATATCTAAATACAAAAAAGCAGGCATACAATGGTGCATAAAACTTAGATTTGACTTAATTCATTGCAAGACTCCTTTTTTTCAAAATAGAAGTACAACTGTCATGTTGCACAAAGAGACTTACTAAATACCTCTTGATTAACTAGTGGCTTAAGTCAGTAATTGAAGAGAATTAGATTTGCAGTGCAATAATAACTTGAAATTATTCAGTGTAAATGGTGAGGTAGTCTCATTATATTATTATAGCTAGTTTCATACAGGTGATGTTTTCTCCCTTTGTTAGATCCTCAGGAAATACTGAGAAGTAATCTTTTCTTCTATGAAGTAGATGATCAAATAGTTTCTAGCAAAGAAATTAAGTTAAAAGCTGGGAAGTGTATACAGACAGACCAGGCTGCTGAGCTGCCATCAAGAGGGACATCAACAGACAGGAAAAATGGGAAGAGGAATTTCAGGAAGTTCCACAACAGAAAACTGTAAATCTTGAACCTGAGGAGGAATAAACCCATGCACCAACGTGTGCTGAAGCTACCAGCTGGAATGTAGGCTTGTAGGAAAATAGGGGTTGTGACGAATGACAAGCTGACCACAGGTAAGTGCATCACCAGCTGGTTGAGGGAGATGACCCTTCCCCTCAGCTCAGTAGTGGTGAGACATCTAGAGAATTCTGTCCAGTTCCTGACTCCCCAGCATGAGAGACATGGACATATTGGAATGAATCCAGAGAGGCCTGTGGACACAATTACAAGAGAATCTGTAGTACTTGGAGAGGCTGGTAGAACTGAGATTGTTTAGCCCCAAGAGAAGGGTCAGGGGAACCCTATCAGTGAAAGGACAAGAAGAACAAATTGAAATACAGGAAATTGGTTAAACATAAGACAACCACAAACTTCCCCCCTCCTCCCTCTGTTTTCTTAAGCATGAGGCTTAAGAAAACAGAGCACTGGTAAAGCACTGGAACAGGTTGCTCAGGCACACTGTGTAGTCTCCCCTATCAGAGATATTAAAATTGGAATATATAAGAAGCTGGATGCAACTATCTCCAGGGTCTCTTCCAATCTAATTCTAAACACCTGCTGCCAGCAATCCTCGAAAAAATATAGCATCTCATGTTATATTTTGAAACATCATGTGTAATACATGTCATTCCAAACGTGCTTCTGAATTGATGGATATCCCTACTTGCTTAAGTATGAGGGTAACTTCCAATAACTCTACAAAAAAAAGTAGATGAGATATACAGCAAAGGATGAGGGTTGAGGTGAGAATCTGGAAGACAGATCTAGGAAACCCAAAAAAAAATTTTAAAAATCAGGAACAATAAATGCTCCCACAAACAAAATGAAACTCAGTAGTTTCAGTTTTCTTTCATGGCTCTTTCCAGCTGGACTCTGCATAGATAAGATAACAGACTGACTAGAGACAAAATGACCAAACTCCCAGCAGCCAAAGTATTTAAATAAATGTTACAAAGAGTTGGAAATTTCAAGAAGTCTCAGAAATTCTGCTGGCAGCTCCTGATGTGCATACACTACTTGATAAGCACTACTTGTATGCCTAAGCATAAGGATTAATATCCTGTGTGGAGAATCTGTCATTTCCAGTGACTTCTCCCAGCAGTTCCTGCTGTAAAATTGACAAAACTGATGTAACCAAAATACTTGTGAGTTGTCAGTAAAATTTCTTTCTTTTGATGCACAGTCATATAGGACAGTTATATGGACAGGACATACAGTTAAGATGGTTAGAAGATATTTTGGAAGGAATTTAATATAATCAACAGCAAATGTGTGCAGTACAAAGGTCACATGGGACAGTCAAACTAGAAGAATTCACTAGAATGACATTTCAGAAAGCCTTATGTGACCCATCTGAAAACAGTGCCACACGCAGTGGAGACTCGCATCAACATCCAGAGAGTAACCAGTCATCCCATTTCAGACTCAGCTCCCCACTGGAACATCACCCTATGCAAAAGAACCAGTAAACATGTCTGTACAACAAACTACCACAGTGCTAAGTACCACTTATTCATATTATGCCAAAGTTCTGCAACATAATAAGAATATGATACATCTGCCAGTGCTTAAATAAAATGAGAGCTGCATTTGGTATCAATTGTGAAACAGATTATATTAGCTGTATTTCAGCATGAGAAAAGCTGCTTAAGTTCAAAATGTTCAAGTTTACTGAGAAACAGGAAATATCTTGAGGCATCAGTGCCTCTAGAAACTTAATTGCTCAACTGAAGAACAACTGGTCTGTGAGCAGATGCAGCATGAAGTCAGCATTAATTAATCTAGTTAAAACATCACAAGGGCACAATGTGAACAACAAAAACAAAATACTAAGAAGAAAATTCACTTTAAAAACCCAGTTTGTGTGTTTTGAACATATAAAACAGCAAAAACGATGGCTGAGTAACATGATAGCAATGCATTTTATTTCCCCTTGAGTATTAACTCCGTAACATGAAATTTTATTTTCAAAACTTTTCTTTCCTGCAGATATTACTATGCAAGGAGGTGTGCTTTGTGATTATTGGAAAGGAGCTGTGCACTTCTGAGAAACAGAAACCCTGACACTGAGGTCAATAATAAAGCTTTGATTACAGTAGAGCCCACTTGGATCACCAGAGACTGTTTCATTTTCATTGATTCATTAGAGGTGCAGTCTCTGTTCTTCATTTTAATAGTTCTTCAAATGATAACTGCTTTAAATGAAACATGCTCAGTACTCTCCATAACATTTGTGAATGAGGATATCTTTCCCAAGGCGAAATATCTTTAGTACCCATCTCCTTAAAGTTCAAGAAGTATGAAAAGAAGTATGAACCACCAAAAGAAGTTACTGCAGTATCACTCATAGAAGGAGAGGCCCAAGATGGGATTAGTTGCACACAATAGTCAGGAGCTACGCGGTATTTCACCTGTTCCAAAAAAGTATGACACTTTCACAAAGTCACGGTACACCAAAAGTTAGCCAAATACTCCTGGGGTGCAGTGCACTATTCTCTCTAGACTCAGAAGGCACTCAGTCCAACTAACTCAAGGAATGAAAGAGCATGCCTGGAACAAAGAGTTTTCAATGGCAAGGTTTTCAATTTCATCCCAACAGCTCCAGCACTAATCTGAAATCATCTGCAGCACAACTGGATTGAAGTACTGAATCTGTGTCTCACTGAAACAGCTTCTCCCAGTACACAACAGGTGAATGTCACTTCCAGTAAAGACGCAACAGCAGAAAGAGTTCAGGAAAGACAAATTTGCCTGCATGGGTTGCTCTTTTGTCATGTCCCACCAGAGAGATGAATACATGGTCTAAGCAGCAGAGGGAAGAAAAGAGAAGGGAACAAAAAAAGAAAATGCTGTTGGGAGCCTTAGAAAAACACACAAGACAACAGTGTGTGATAACAAATCATTGTCCTGGGGGAGGAAACAGACCTGTCCTCTTCAAGAAAGTACCTTATACAGCTCCTCTGGGCATAGTGCAAGAAGCTCCATTGCCAAAACACAAGTGCGACGACATCCAAAGTAAAAAGGAGAATTGTGAACGGCACGCAGAAAGAAGGACCAATGAGACATACTCTGTGGCCAAGAAGCAAAGACATGAAAATCTTTCTCTTGACAAAGAGAGCCCTAACATCACCACCATCAGCATGCTATGATTTCAGCAACAGATGTGAATGCAGCAAGTCTGCACAGCCAGTTATGTTCTATTACCACATACTTTTTAGATCAAACAACTGAGGTCTTAAAATACATATAGAGCCTAGGGGTGCCAATGATATATAAACCCTCACATACTATTTTGGGTAGATAAATTTCAAGAATGTTTTAAGATCTACTAGTCTGAAGTTTCTTGATTTCCCATGCAATATCTCTAAAAAAAGAAAAACAAGCTAGACCTAATCTTCTGGTATTAAGGACCTGTTAAGCTATAGATAAGACTAGTAGCTTTGATAAACTCATGTTAAATAAAGTAATCTCCAGGCAGTTAGGTCCTGCACTAGGCATACCTACCTTACTAAAAGTGCTAAAGCTTAACACTAATAATATACATAATGTGAAGCAGACAGTAAGATAAATATCTTACTTAAATTACTACATTTAATGTTTTGGTTTGTCAGTATTTAGTTATAATTACATCCAGATTATTTTTACTGATATCTCTAGTTACATACAGCAGTAAGAGTTGAAGATTGAAACACATGAATTCTAAAACAATCAGAATATCTGAGGACAGGATTAGCTATGCAGCATTTAGCACAGGAGTCAGTTCTCACTCTGCAAAAACCAAGCAGTTCTTTTATGCCAAGTGAATCCTTAATTTGGCCTTTATATACAACTCCTTGCACTGCTTTAGAGCAACCAATCATTATAGGTAAAAAATGGACAATAATTGATTTTGTGCACAACACTTTCATTATCAGTTACTATGTAACATCAAACATGAACTCTATTTTAAGTCAGGCATGAAAAAGGCTCATCAGCTGAGGAATTATTTTTAAACAATGCTAGAACAGAAAAAAGTTCACACCAAACTTTTGCAAGAAGTTTTTGCAGAATCTTTCCATCTCTACTCTTAGCCATATCTTTACCAAAAAGAAATGCTGGTTTCTGTATAGAAGACACATTCCAAGTACAAGTGACTATCTGCCACTATAACTTGTAAAATAGTAAGACAGACACAAACATTTTTAAAGAGCACTATGAGAAAGAGAAGATAGTCAAAGGAATGTAACATGCATGCATCACTTTTTCTGACCAACAGGAAATAATGTAAGCTTTTAGCATTTACTTACAGACTTGGAAGCAGTGCTAATATATTGCATCACCATTTCTTTTTTGGTATTAAAATCTTTTTCTCTCAACGGCATCTTCTTGTCTTCATTTAAATTCATATCCTCCTAGAATGGGATAGGAAAAAAAAGAAAAAACAGTCTTAAATACCATACATCAACAGAATTATTTTCATGTAAGAGACTGACTTAAATAGACACAAAAATACTAACTCATACAAGTGAAAGCTGTTATACAAACAACTTTTCATGAGATGTTAATCAAAACCATAAAATCCTTATCCATATTCCCTCTGAACTCAGACTGAAAAAAACAAAAACAGTCAACTATACTCAAGTGCATCACAACCATTTTTAGTACACTCTTTTCTTAGGAAAGACCTACAGTTTCACACATGTGTGCACCAAACTACAGAAGAGCATTATTTAATACTTCCCAAAACATTTATAAATGTACTCAAACCAGTATTTTTATATATTTTTAATTTTTAATTCATTCCGTAATTCTCTTCCTCTCTTCCCAAATGGTTCATCTTGGCAGCAGAATGTGGCTTGCACTGAAACAAGTTCACAAATTAATAATCACATTTGCAATAAGCAAGGCCAAAATTCTTAAGGATTAAATCAAAACATTCAACCATTATCAAAACCCCATCATAATTCATTCACCCCAATATAAATCCAGAGGTCAAAAAGAGCAGAGAGACCTACAATGAAAACCACACAAGTGACACTTCTGAATGTCACTAGCATCTATGACAAAGGGAGTTCTACTGCTCCAGCCTAGAAATGCTCTGATCATTGTAATCAGTTGCACATCTGGGAGAAATGGCATTTCTCATCATGGTGTAAGTTAATAAATAAAAGGGAAAAGAGAAAAAAATTAAAATAAAAGTTTTCAGGAACAATTAACAATTTTGGCACAAACATATAAAGCACATACAGCGTGTGATTTACTATGTGCATTGCTCAAGCTTAGCAAGAATTACTGCAGTTATTTTCAGCTGAGACTCATGAGGTGAATCCTCATCAGCTTTGGCAGGAGCAATGCTACAAAATCAGTGAGTAACCATCTTGATATCAAGTTATTTCACCTAGTCAGAAATCAAAGACGAACAGTACAGACAATCCTTAGAATTTGTACTACACCAAAACTCAAGTTGCCTTGTCCTTCAATAGCTTTCACGCTGAGTAGAAGAGAATGAAGCACAGTTCCTAGAAACATTTACACTTTTGTATAAATCCAAGCTTTGAGAAGTTATTGCAGAAAATGCTTGACCCCTGTCCTGGTTTCAGCTGGGATAGGATTAATTTTGAACTTAACTTAAACTAAAAAAAAAAAAAAAAAAAACCTTTTCACATTATCATGTAGCTATTGCAAAGTTCATTCTTCTATTTAAAATAGTTTCTTTCAGACTTGCTCTTTCATGTTTTCTGAAAAGCAGTTTCTAAACTTAAATAAAAGTATCTAACTTCTAAACACAAAAAAAAGCCCCAAGAATTAAGAAACCTATCAACATAAACTATATTCCATAAGCCTAGGTATAACAGCAGGTTAATTTATGGAAAATAGTCTGTTTGTGTGTGCAGTAAAAAGTAATTTCTTTGTTCTTGTTTTTAACAAACGAAACATCATTGAGACAATTAATTTATATAGACTAGAGTGATACAGGGGCACAACAGATACTGCTTAGTTAATAAAATACTTCATCCCCATCCTTTATCTCTTAAATAACTGAAATATATTCTACAGGTAAGCAGTACCTCTTTGGAAAAGAAGAATACATCATTTCACATGGATATTTTCCTAATAGCACTAACAGAAACTAAAGGAGGTATATGACAATTATTATCTTTATTATCTGGTTTTATGAGCTCTTTCATAATTTCTGCCATGAAAACCACACAAGATGCCACTGGATAAAATAGTGGGAGAAGGAAGCCATATGCATCCAGGAAAACCCCAAGTACAAGGTAAAGACATTCAGTAAACCCTAAGAATTGAAAAACTTCTCCCTTCAGTTCTAACACATTGACTATTTTTTCCATACAAAATTATTTCTAAAAGCCTGGCTACAACAAATTGTTCAAATTGTTCACCAATCCACCCCTCCAAATCACTTAATTTGATCAGAACAGCAAACTAGAGGCTACAATATATAATTAGCTATGTAATCTACTGTGACTAAACTAGCTTTATTCCAGCCCATTCAAATGTGGATAATCTGAAAAATCCTTTCTGTAGTGCATGTTATAGATAAAACAACACTGATAAAGTAGCTTAATACAAGTTTAAGTGCTTTGTTATTCAATCAAACAAGGAAAGCATTCAAATTATCCGGATGTCATCACTACTTTAACATATTTTGCAAAGTAGTTTTAAAATTGGAATTAATTATTCAAGGATCCATAGATATACACATCTATATTTATCTAGACATGCAGTAGTAGGTTTCTGAGGATTTATTGAAAGTTTTTATTTATTTATTTATGGCACAGTACAACATCACAGACTACCCTATACCAGAATGTCTGTAGGATGGCAGAGAAATACAATCTAAATGCAAGGGGTGTTTTTGAAGGCACTCCTTCAAGTTGTATTAAAAAGAACTCTCCCATTTTCTGAGCAATTATCAGTGACAGCAAAATTTTTAAGAGAAGCAAGACATCAAAGAAAAATGAACCATTTGGCAAGAAGTACAAACACAAAAGTTGGTAACAGTTAATTATTCCTTTCCCTCACCAGTTTAACCACGAAAACCCTGAATGTTATCCTTCATTTACAGTTCTCAAGAGTTCTACAAAAGCTTCCTCAAAACTAAACTATTATCACTGAGTACTAGGAAGTACAAATTGCACAAAGGTACTTCTCTCATTGCACATTGCATTTTCTCCACATGCCAGTCCCTGGTAGTCCCTTTGTATTTCAAGAGTTACTTGTTACTTGCTGTGAGGCAGAGAAAGAAATAATAATCTGGGCATCATTCTCCTTGTTAGTGTTCTCTTGTGCTCTTCAGATTTCAGTCACTCTTTTCTCATGGCCATTTGTGTTTAGTTTTCAATTGCCCAAAATGTCATCATCACGACAAAAAGCTCAACCTACTGAGGTGCTACCAATGCCACGTGGTCTTTGTGACTGCTCTTTTGTAGTGCACTAACAATGACAACTAAGGAAAGAAGCAAATTTGCAGACAAATGCTGCTTTGGAGGCAATTCTTTTTGTGCAAGAGTGACATGGCATATAAATTGAGAAGTAAATGTGACCGTGACATTTGAAGGCACAAAATCTCTTTGTAAAAGTTTCAGATCGTTTTAAAAGGAAGAAAGATCCCCCATTTCTTGTTCCTCCTCAAAACATGTTGCATAATCTCATTTCTAATTTCTGTTTAAATATATTGGACCAAAATTTTGCAAAAATAATTCCAATACTTTATTTCCTGAGAAACACCCTAATAAATACACAATTACAACTCACAACAACAATTATATTAAAAATTCAGGTAAAGATTAGAACACATGCACAGAAGAATACTTGTTCCACCTATCACTTAGCCATGTTGTCATTCTTTAAGTAAAAGAAAGTGTAAGACTCTTACCATCATTTTTTCAAACAGTGCTATGATTTCCCTTTCTGACAGTGGTTTTGTAGCAAAATCCTCCAGGTCCATGGGTGTGGATGACCAATCTGTAGAGTGTGACTGCTTCATATGTGGCAGAGGAGGTCTTTCTTTTTTACTTCTTGGAATTCTTATACTGGCAAATCTATCCAACTGAAAATATAAAAGGTGTAACATATCACATACTGTTTCCATTCCGTGTAACCCTAATTAACATGGGTGTTCTTGGAAGTTGAAAATCCTTATTTTTCTGTGGTAGCTTACCTGTTCTTTAACTGCCTTATTCTAAAGGATTTTCCTAAAGATACATATGATGGTCAGTTGCCTAGCACTGGAGTTAACCAACCAGAATCCCATTACATTATAAAGAAATCATGCAGAACATCAGAATTTTACAGAAAGTTTGGAGGAATAGATATCTACAAAACCAATTTATGAAGAATTCTTTCCAAGCGTTACATGTAGAATATGAGAAAGCAGGCTGATTTACCAAAAGCATAGTTTTAAAGTGGTTTTAGTTACCCAGAAACAGTTGTACTCCTAACATGGCTACAGAATATATAGACATGCAAAGAAACTACTTTTTATTAAAAGACAAGTTAGCGTAACTAAGACACTGTTCTATTTATTTTCTTTATATTTCTATTTCTTTTTGCATCATGTAATACAAAATTTAGTGCCTTTGTTCCAATTATTTAGAAAGTCATTTTGGAGAAACCATTGACTCCTCCACTAAAGCTACATAAAGTATGTTTATGATTTCATGAATGATCCTTATGACCAATCCCAAGCAGACATCAATCACTCTGGCTTTATTAACCCTTCCAAGAGCCAAAAACCTTCTTTAGAAAAGTGGTTTGGGTTGTGGGATTTTAAACTGGCTAGATATTTACCAGCTTTTTGATCAAGAGTTACTAAATGAAACTTTAAACATTTTCCATGCTAGAGCCTGTGCTTTAAGGCACATGGAGGCAAGGACCAACAGAAGGCAAAAGCAGTGGACACCTAATGAGATGTGCTACATCATCATCTTTGTAACACCCTTTTGAACACATACGAACAGCATCACATTCCTCAACACAAAACAAAGTTACGGAAACATTTGATGCATAAGAGATTTTGTACAATATTTCAACCATATCAACTGACTTCTGTCTTGGAATGCTATGCAAAAATATTCTGAGGCTTCAATATATCTTTAAGATAAGTATCTTGAGACAAGTACATCAGTTACCAAAGTAAATGACAAGTAAAATTATTATAGCATCTGTGGAATTAAGATCAGAGAGAGCAAAGAAAATCAGTAGCAAAAATTGGGTACAAGTGCTCCACTCTAGTCAGAGCAAGAATTGACTATCAGACATCCATGAAGAGAGGTTTAGAGGAAAAATATAAAGACTTTAATTCTTCCAGTTCAAAATTGAAAAGAAACAGTTTTTGGAACACAGAAATAGATTGTAAGCTACTCACAGATGGCTGTAGAACATGCAAAAGCAGAAAATTAATATAGCATAAACATAAAAGAGCTCAGCATGGATGATGGGGCCCTTCTGTGTCACATCAAACCAGCAGGCAATGAGGAATGGCATACTCTACAGGAATAATTACATAGGCAAGACCCAGGAAGACAAAGAATGCAACAAAAGCAAAAGGGAGGCTAACATCACTGGAAGTGAAGTAGTAGTCATCAGTAACAAAAACCATCTTACATCTTGACTGGGAAGCAATTTCCCTTCCTGCTTTTAAAATCAGAAGTCTATGGTAAGCATGGGGAGATGAAGCCAGACTTCAAACTGAAGTGACTAGACAGGAATTGTAAAAAAATCCTATTATTTGAGACTTTTCTTTTCAAGCAATGTCTTTCATAAGTACTGATGAAAGGCAGCATGCCTGCTCCAAAAAATGAGTTAGCCAGTAGCTTCTCCATGCCCCCATATCTTCACTTTTAAGTGCATAACCTAAGATACAAGCCATTGTATTTGCAGCTGGTTCACATACAGACAACAGGTGTAGAGGGAAGACACTTTGGCTAAATAATGAATTTCAGCCCATGAATCTGTGAACAGAGAACAAATTACATTTAAGACAGCTGTGCCCTAAATTCTTTTTCCGATATCTCCTGAAAAATCTCAGTCCCTTCTTTACCGTCTGTGCTCCCCAAGTGTCTCATCTTCCTTCTCCTGCTCCACACAGCAGCAGCAACAGAAGTTCTGGCCAGGCAGAACTGCATGCAGTGCCAGAGGTCTCCAGAAACAAACAGCCCTTATTCAGGGAGAAGGGCCTATTCCTCCTTGAAAAGTGATATTTCACTTGTTCCCATTTTTAGTTTATGTTTTGGTTTTAATCTTCTCTTGAATATCTAGTAGATGTTTTGTATCATTATACATTCTGCTGTAACCTTTATATTCCCCATATTCACCAAATCCTATACCACTCATCCTAGAGGAGGAAAGCACATCTTGGAATATATTTGATCAGACAGAACATTTACGACAAATTGAGATAATAGGATTATAAATACATTTAAACATGTGTCAAACTAATTATTTTAAATAATTTAAAACAATGCAACCTAAAAAGAAGATTCCCATACTTTAATAAAAGGGAATTCATAACAAGATTTGCACAGCAGTAGAGTGTGGATATTCTACATATACTTCCCTTTTAAATTATACACTGATAGTGCTTCAGAAAAGTTAATACTTCTCAGTATTCCACACAGGCAAATAATTTCATGGTCCACAGAAAGCACTATACAGAAAGAATAGAAATTTCATTGCTTGGGTGTAATGAAATCTACCACTGATGCTGCTGGCAATCCAAGTGCATAGAGGAGGAAACGGCAAAAAAAAAGTTCAATAATCTTCCATGTTACACCAAAACATTTTAAATCAGGCTAACCAACAGGCTATAGCTAAGCTTAGCTTTGATACAGGTTCACTAGAGTTTAAAGCAGGTTTGACCTTGCATCTTTTCTATTTTTTGGTATTTATTTTATCAATGGATACATATAGATGAATACAGCAACAGTGCTCTAGGAAAGTAAGAAAAATATCTGTATGAGCCAAAATCAAGCAACCATCAAGGATGAATGGCAAGGTTTTATTGGCTTATTTCATAGGCTGACTATTATTCCACTGAGAGCCCATGAAATAAGAAAGTGATTTTATGCCCACACCATGGCCCTGAAAAGTCAAAGTTACACAGAGATCCACAATACAAACTTTCTGACTCATCACACTTACTAATCAGGTCCCTAGAAAGTAAATTTTTTTGTGCTCTGATTTTGATCTTAGTGATGACTTCTTATACCTTTCTCCATAAGAAAATAGTATATATTGAACTTACACATTTGATAATGCAGGAATCAATGGATTAGTTACTGCTAGAATAATTTTTGGCACTACAGCTTATCAAGACATCACCTATTAATAAAGCTGCTATGCATGCAGGAATGCAAGGTGTTACTTCACTGCCACCCTGCCTCCCTCATCCCTCCCTTAATTAATACATCAAAACACCTATTCCTATATTAAGAAATTCCTCAAAAATGAAATCCAGCACACACATGTAAAAAACCACATTCATTATCACTGTAAGTGATGGCCTTAACAGCATTGAAAATGGCCCTTGTGATAGCCCTGCTTCTTCCTCCTCTCCACCCTCTCCAACCTCCTTGTTCTCCTTGACTGCTTTTGCTAAATCTTTTTTGAACAGTTACCTTCATATACATTTCTTCTGCTTGTGTACAGGGGCAAGTGACACCAGCACATGTTGTTTCTCTGCTTCAGTGGCTCTGTCATCAGGCTTGAACTAACCACAGTGTCTGTCACAGTGACTAGAACAGCTGCGGGCCTGGTGTCTCACTGTCAGATTCAGAGACCTTCTCTCTCTCCTGAGGGCACTGGGCAGTGCTGGGCATGGCTCAGTAGGTCTGGGCCAGGCCCCAACACATTGCAGGAGGTTGGATCCTCCTGCATTGCCAGGGTGGCAGAACACCTTTTCCAAGGCCAAAACTTTCACTGGTTTTTCTGGATTATGCACTTGCTAGGGGTAAAGTGCAAATGCAGACCACTGCCCTAGACACTGGCCCATACAGTGCCACACACTCCTCCACTCCAAACTATCCAGCTTTTGGGCAAATGTCTGGGTGATGTTCTTAATTAAGAGTCTGATCTTAAACAAGACCTGAACCATATGTAATAATATACTGGCTCCAAGAAAAAGATCAGGTTGGTTTCAAGGGTACTCAAAATCTTTAAAATTCTCAAAGGCTACTGTAATCGGTCAGGAGGAGAAGGAATGAAAGGGGGAGGGAAGAAAGATGTAGGAAGATATTGTTACGGGTTCAGGAGAATGCCTGTGCACAAAAAAACTCAAGATGCAGTCAGAATAGCAAAGCAAGTCCATTTCATTAGTTGTGTTTGCAATAAATACATACCAACCCCTGGATGTTGGAGAAGCTGCCGAGCAGAAGGAGATAGAGCACAGCTCCTGAGCGGGAGAGGCAGGAGGGCCACACACCTTCAGGGTGTTCCCTGATGAAAACCATGTGCATCATGTCATCCTCTCTCCACCACCCTTACATCTCCCCCTCAGGAGTGGCCAGTTTCAACATCATCTCACATGGGGCCAGTGCATGAGATGAGGTAACAACAGCCCAGGATCACACCTCCATGCCAACAACAGCTTTATCATTCCCCTTTCACAGGATGAATTCCACTGATACATAGTTTCATTTCTGAAGGTTAGGCCTACCAACTAACAATAAGTTCTTCTTCTACATTATCTTGTTGACGGGCACAATCGCAGACCAAATACATCAGGCCTTAGGCCCGTTTTCGGTCCCTGACACAGGTATCTTCCCCATAGGTTGTCTTTCTGAGGACACAACTTCTGATACCTTATTATGAAGACAGAGCATTACAGAATTATTATGCTTTAACCTAAAATATCTTACTAGAAGTATTGAACAACCTTCTTTCTTTCACTCGCATTCTCATGAAGAGACACACACATTCACATATACATAAAAAATATATTCATATGTATGGACCATTAAGACACTGATGGTGATCACTAAGCTCAGTCTTTTAGAAAAGTTCTGATATGAAATATATACAGGTAGAAAATATTCCTTTCCTGAGTGAAAG